CGGGTATATCCGGCAGCCCCTACCGACAACCTCTTATTTGGACGCGGGACTGCATCTAAAAAAGATCGCACTCCACTTTGGAGTTTCCGGTTGGCTCAGCTTATCTTGTATCGTCTGCAGTAGAAAGGCGTGGTGGCGACAGCGAGGCGGCGGCGCCGCACGACGGTTTTGCTCAGTACTGACGGCGTGGCAAGCGGCAGTGAGTGTCAGGCGTTGGCGCGAGGGCAGGGCCGACAGGATCGAGTCCCACCCCGCAGACAGAGATATGTCGCCGCCGCGCCGGTCGTCGTCACGTCCATGTCTGGATTGACTCGTCAGCGCGCCGGAGCTGGCGCCGCGACCGTGTCAGACAGGACGCGGTCGTGTCTCATGCATGCGTCGCCGCTCTGACGAAACGACGGCACGGAGCGACGTCACAAAGGCATGGCACCGGCGCGGCGGGCCTCGAGAGGTCAGTGGAGGGCGACAGCGTCATGAGATGTGGGTGTTACTCTGATCCACCAAGGATCCACAGGTAGCTAAAACATCAAGCAGCGATTTTCTCAGTTCCCACTACTATATACCTCGAGTGCCAAACAAATAGCGCTGTGGATGGTAAAACTTGAAGGACAAGAATGTTGCATGAGACATGAACAGTAAAATACCAAACAACACCCAGCCAATCCACACAATAAGTCACGCCATGAAACCTAATGACACCAAGCACCCAGATCACTTTCCTGTTCCATTGGGGCCGTGTTTCCAGTCGGTCGCTCGGGTGTCTCTGGTGGGGTAGTTTACCGGGGCGGTCCGGCGGACTGGATGACCGCGGCTGATGGACCGCCCCCATCAGTCGTCCTAAAAGGGTGTCGGCTGTCTGCCAGTCGGTGACAAATTCGCTGGCCGCGGCAGAGCGGCACCCATCGGCCCGGCACGCGCGGCATGCGACCGGCCCGGCCGGCGGCGGCGACACCGGGTCGGCTATCAGATACACCGCTCAAATGGACCCTAATTAAATAACGGCCGTGATTAATGTGATGGTTCGAACTGGTTATCCATCGACCGGTTCGGCGGTGAGTGCCCGACGGTCGCGGAGACGGCGTCACGGCCGCCTGTCCGTGGGATATAGCGGCGACTGCAGCGAGACACGCCACATACCTAGTTACTTTTTAGCGATTTACTTACTTAGCGAACTTTCTTACTTTAAACGTTATCTGAGCTACGTTGCTTACCCGACTCATCACTTGTTCGCAGTACATTATCATTGATGCAGTCGAATACCGTAAATATCAAGGTATGCGTAACATTGTCGGAGGGACCAATATGTTTTTATTCGTCGCATAGCCTACTGTCACCATAAGTGTCCCGACTCGGCTAACTATTTCCTCGGCCCTCGCCTCCACCTACCGTCACCACCGAAAAACGCCAACAGGAAAGATGCAACAAAAATGCCCGGTGATGGCACTGAGCGCCTTTTTGTCGTTTTGCCAGCTCCTAAACGGGTGAATAAAAATCCGGCCGAGGTACTCCCCGGGTTAGTGTTAGACCGCTGTGGATAGCGCCAGTGGATCACTGTCGGACGAGGAAATAACACGGTGGCCGAGGCCCGGCGACATGCATGCTACACGACACGGGGGCTCGTTTACCGGACGGAGCTCGGTGGGTTTCTCGGTAGTCAGGTACCCACATCCTAACACTCGCCCGGACTCGCCCCGCCAGCCCCTGTCGTGCGGTGGGCGATGTAGCAGCTTAGTTCCGCCACATCGGCAGCTGTCGGCAGCTGGGTTTACGCATGTTCTCCCTCCCCAGTTGCCAATGAACGTGCGTTGGACGATGTCGGGCACAACGGCAGTCGTGGAACTTGACGTTCGTTTGTTCTCCCGTGTATTTCGCTACTCTCAGTCTCGTCAGGTCGTGCCGCTGCCATGTCTCCAATCCCGTCTTCCGCTGTTAACCCGCACTTTCCCATCCAGCCAAAAGCAAAGTCGCGCCTCACGGTTGTCGGGCCTGTAAACATGTTAATGACTAGAGTTGACCGTGTCTTCAGCGGCGTCCTCACCCGGCACGCCGACACGCGATACAGATATACACCGGGAGGGTGGGTCGGCGTTCACAGGGGCACCAGACGGCCGCTCCGTCGGCACGGCACGGACGGCACGCCGGGCCGGCACGGACTCGACGAGCCGTGCCGTGCCGCGCTGCTGATAAACAGCACGTCAACGGGCGCCGGCACCGACCACGGACACAGGCACACCAGCACCGACTCCGCGGCGGCAGGAACGATGGAACCGACTCCGACGGCAGGCATGCACCGGCACAGCTCAGGAACAGAAGGGCAAGGATCTCGAGACATTTAGAGTGGGGGAGTTTTACATAAAACATGACAGGCCGGCCGCCGGTATTGGAATTAGGATCACTGTTAGGATCCGAAAAATATACGAACCATATAGAGACGATAGACGTATCTACATAACATACATGATGCTGGCTAATAGCATGACCGAATGAAATAAATGACAAGTTCACACGATGTTACATCACGCATGGAAACAAACATCATGTCATACGGCTCATGCACGACGGACCCAAGCTTTTAGTATAAGACAATATCTATCTACAAATAAAACGGCTGGGTGCACACGATAACTACCATTGCAAATCACTTCTCCGCTGCAAGGCAGCCCGAACTCCGCATATTGCCGGGTTTATAATCGAGATAGCACGGTAGCGGGTGGCGTGCCGTGTAAAACGTGCGCACCAGCCATCGACGGCCACCGCTGATGCAGGCTGGCACGGCTCGGGCGCGAGCAACAACGCACACGACATAGTGCCAGTCACGGACAGCCCAGGGTCAGATACGAGTCAGGAACATTACGAACAGAGGACACAGCTCTGGGAATAGGATATTTCGGTGTCGGACACCAGACAATAGACGGCACAACTCCGGATACGATGGACACTGGAAAGGCTACAATCCAGCTCTAACATAGTTAGTACGGATCCGGATAGCTCAGCTCCGGACAACGACAATTACGAGCATGACAACTCCGGACAGCGGACAACACAATTCCAGAAACAGCGGACAACGCAGATCCGGATGGCTGAGCTCCGGAGTCCGGACAACACAGGTCCTGAAAGATCAGCTGCGGAACGCTCGGCTCGGGATAGCTCGGCTTCGAACAGACAGCTCAGTCCCGTCGGTACTACTCGGAACAGAGCGGCCCAGACTGCGTGGAACGCCGCTCCGACCAGCCGCCGCTCTGTAGGCCCATATTCGGCGACAGGCGGTAAACGAGAACCGCTGTACTCTGGCGCTCTCCGAATGTCGGGGCGGCTCGACGGCGTGTCCCCACCGGAGCTTCACACAGGCCGCTCAGCCCACAGCCGCCGCCAGCGACTCTAATGGAATACGACATTTCGCCGTCATAGTCCGCCAATTCGGATGATTGATTGCCGGAATAAAGCCGACGGCATCCACAATGCACATTGCCGAGTGACATTATTCTTAGACAGCCGTTACCTGTTGCAGCTATAGCGTGCATGTTTGCAGCGACTGAGATCTCCCACCGCCTCCGATCGGCTTGTCGTACCCAATTCCTCCATTATAACGTTAATGGATTGGGTGTGCTCACGATACGCAGTCGTTGCGACACAGCAATGTCAGAGTCTGAGTGCAGTTCACTAGGAGAGTGCCACTTTTTCTGAGGGTGACCGGACTGCACGCAGCGACCAGGGCGTGGCCGCCTGTCCAGTCAGAACTGTCACGGGCTACACTATGCTGGCAAGGTTTTGTTACCATTCTCTAATAACACTGAGAATAGCACAGGTGGGATTCAATCGATCAAATGCAATGCCACATATGATGCAGCGTTCGCGGAATGACTTGCCACACCGGGTGTTGTTTGAAGACGTGACGCAGGGATGCCCAGGACGTAAACGCACGCAGTGACGTCTCAAAACGTGACGTGGTGACGCTCAGGACGTGACGTGGTCGCGAGGACACGCTGAGAATGGGACTTCCGCTACGAACCTGTGAAATCGAGCAGTTTATTAGGTTTAGAAGGCTAAAACACTGTACGCAGTGCACAACAACGTAGGGATGCACAGCGAAGACAGTTAGACTGATCCACAGATGAGCGATGTGTCTAATCATGATGACAGTAGAAGCTGCATGTATGGGCTTATAATCAGAAATTAGTACAAGCTCCCGGATCGCTGAGACCACGAATAATCGAGGACTCAGAGGACGATGACTTGATCAGTCGTGAGCTGGTGCAGACGCGATGGAGAGGATACATAAGTTAGCCAAAGCCAGCCGAATGAAGTCAAATGCTCCACATGTTTAGGTTAATAATTAAATATTGTTCGATGGAAAAAGAAAAAATAGCCCGTGCGTCATGCGTCATCATTGCTTATTGAATTACCGACTGCTGCATCTAACCAAAGTTCACTACAGCCGACCATGCTCAGTCGTGGTGTATAGTACCTATTTGATCGTAGGATGTAGATCCCCGCCGCGCTAATGCCGACCACCATGGCCAGTCCGACGGCCAGTACCGAGATGACCAGTGGACCGGGCCTCCAGCCGGCCGCCCCCTGACGACCTCCCAGCGCCAGCAGCGCCTCTAGCGTCCGGTTCACCGAAACATCTGCCGGCACAGGTGGCGCTGAAGCTGAGGATGGTGGCCGTGCGGTGGCCGCGGACGAAAACGGCGATTAGGGCACAGTTCGCTATTCGAGATTGAGAACAAGTCTCCATGGACATAAGCGTTGCCAACAACGTTACATAATCTTGTAGACCACAATGCACACATTGTGTACCAAAGAAATTAGACACTTGATTCACGGTATGTCAAATATGAGACGTTCTCCTCGCCGTTTTTAGACGTGAATAAGACGTTCGGTCCAGCATAGGTCGTCGAGGATGTTTTAAGTGTAGGCACACGTATCCTCGAAAGCAAACTTCTCTATAGCAGGTTTCGCTTCGTAAGAGTTTGCATAACCGAAGCATCTGCTGTACACTATTCACCCCCGTCAGTTTCGTTACCGTGTTTGGCGCCGCTGGTCCGCCGCTGCTCGTGCTGCTCGTGTCTCCTGGTCCCTCCGGGGCCACGGCCGCGGCCAGACGCCAGCGACACCTGTTTGTTACAGAGCGGGGTACCGCAGCAGATGGAGCTGGCCCGGTAGTCCTCCCCGTGGGTCGGCAGCAGGTGGTCACACATTAGAGGCGTCTCGCCCCTGGGAATATAACACGGGTCACGAGTCAGAGGTCAGAGGTCGCAGCCAGAGATCACGAGTCATGACTTACCGGGTCTTAGATGAGAGATCACGTGTTAGACGTCTAATATCACAGATTCCACGTTGCAATTAATGTTTAAGATGCCATTGGCGCAGCTCAGCCCCAAAGCCGTTTGCAACGTTGAAGCTTAAAGGGCACCTTCGCGGGCTTCAAGCCTTTCTAATTTTTTCTCGCGAATATCACATGAATACTTAGTTGGTGGGTAGGTACCACAGCACAAGTACAAATTACTTGGGATAGGGACTGAGCTTTCCAAAGCGGACTTACTGCAACAAGACATAGCTCTCGATCCCTCATTTACATAATTCCCCTAGTACTGACCCGGCTGAGATGGCCAAAAACCACCCCACTGACCTGACACAGCCTCTGGTCATGGGGTCGGCGCCGTCGAGCCGCCTTAGCTGTTGGGTGTAGCACATGCCGGTGGTGGTACAGGTGCTCACGCCCGCCTGCTGACACTCCAGCGTGGTGCAGATACAGACGATACTGCGGCTCACATCGCCTGGAGGCAGGGGCGGGACAGGTCACATAGAGGTCATTGTGATAAGGTACGGTAAAAGAGAGTCACGTGGACAGGGCAAGGGGTAGTGCTGACAGGTCACAGCGGAGTCACGGCGGTCGGCTAGCGGGAGTCACATAGAAAGGTCAGACCGAAAGTCATATCGAAAGGTCACCGAGTGTCAGTAAGCCAGGTCACAGTGACAGGTCATTGGGCCACCGAGGTCAGATGAACTGTCATCGAGGGTCATTGACGTTTAACTGGTTCAAGACAGGCCATCGGGAGATCACGACATGCCACCAATAATTATGTCGATAGGTGAACAAGGAACATGCATATATGCTGCTATAGATCAACTTGGACTGACAGGGCAGATGGGGAGGGCCCAACAGTCAAGTGAACGGAGGGGGGGGGGGGAGCTGGCACATAAAGTGATAGGCTTATACAAAAGAAGAGTGTGGGGAAGGATATTCCTTGCGGATCGATGCACCACGGGGTCCATGGTATTTTAAAGGGAAATTAATTAAGATTGTAGACAACATTATCTTCAGGCTTCATGAGAAAAATCTTCTCATCTCGACTAGAATATGTATTTCTAAAGTTCAGAAAGCGGTCTGATGTGAAATAATGTACCAAGATGCATATGGACCTAACATTGATCGGGGATCCACCACCACGCCAAGCCCGTCAGCCCTCGTTCGTTCCTGCAATGTAACTATAATTACACTACACATTGTTTGTGCAAACCCCATAAGAAGGAGAGCCTGAGCAGGCATGCATTCTGCTAGATGTGAATTAGATCCTTACGCTGGATCCGGGGATTACATTTTCATGCCAGCTAAGCACTGCTAATAAGTTGTAAAGAGCTTTCGGCTGACGCTTGTCCATCATTATTTGCCGATTATAGCTTTTTTCCTTATACAGCACCAGCGCGAGTGAGCATCCAGTGTGAGAACAGTTTATACAGTTTATATAGGATGTCGGGTACCCCGTCCCAATTTCTCGATTTCAACAGTGTGTGACTAGTCACAGTCAGCGAATAAAAATATGCGAGTTTTATAGGCTAGACTGCTAAAGGAATTACGTTTCATGACGTTTCTGATTAACATAGTGCCCAATTTTAATGACATGTCATGTCAATTTGACGTTTAATATTGAACGTTAGCGCTAATCCGGGCAGATGTGTACAATGCATAAAAATAGATAGGTAGGGGAGACCCGGGAGGTATGGGCCGGTTTTGTGAAACGGTAATTTTCTTCCAGTGAGTAGTGTCTAGACCCGGTTTTTCACTCTGTGTAGGTACGTGAAATTGTCTTCCACCAGCAAAATGTGCCTGATATTAGGCATCTGGGATCAACTATTTTGTCTCGAGATAGCTTTCAATAAATCATGCGCCTTTTCGATCCAGCAAAATACACCGGGAGGTATGGACCATGGGCCGGGACGTATGGGCCGGTGTCATGTTTCATATTCTTTTTTCGACATTGAGAACAATACTCTTAGCTGGGATCTAACTTGAGCTCTCTTAGAGCCCAGGCACCGCATAATAGGCCAACAGCTTACTTCATGGAGGCCACTTGGGCACCTATTTATAATGGGTAACTCAATCCGGTTCCATGAAATAAATAAGACAAACAATATTTGTATGTTCAAATGCAGTCTGTAGTTAAATTTTCGGCCATGTGCGACAAAAACAATTGTTATTGAAGAGGACATTCAAAGAAAGCATCATTTTATTGATTTAGGATCAATGGAGGCGGGTGGCCCGAACCTCCCGGTTAGGACGTCAGAATGCGCGTAGCATCTCAGCTCATAATCTTGCGAGGAAGCTTCAAATTGTCTATCCAGTCTTAATAAGCATGCTTTACACTTTTTGCTAGCGATGGTCTGACATAATAAATCGATCCTGGTTCACATTGATCGCGAATTTACTTTATGTTTCGTATTTTATTCGAAGAGGGCAAAAACGCTTTATCACCGCTCATTGCCAAAAAAGACTGAGGAAGATTTTGGAAATCACATAGGTTGCATAACGAAATGGCTGCTATCAGTTTACGTGGTCAAATGTGTAAAAATACGCAACACTTCTTCAAAACTGCGATGGCCCATACCTCCCGGGTCTCCCCTACTTACCCACTCGGAGCGTTAGGGTCGCTGACTATTCAACTGTTCTTCGGCGAGTGTGAATAGATAAGAATTATGAGTGACAAACATCAGTATGTTTTTGTTTGCATGCATCATAGAACTCTTGGTGTATAGAAGTCTCATTTCATTAAAACTGTACATGCATAAGGTCGTGTATCTACCAATAAGGGCTACCGGCGCCGTCGTTACATGTCCTCGCGTCGACCCCCAACGGGACTTGTACTAAATCTCGTTTGCCCCTGAATGCCGCGTGCCCATGAATGGTGGTCACATCTCTGCACAGTCCCGGTTTCATCAATAGCCCGACCTTGCCCAGTTCGAATGTCTGACCGGTATTTCTGTTTAATTGCTCTCGCGGAGCCGGGAAAGTTCACCCGCACTTGTGCCCACGCCGCGGTCGGCAGGGCTGACCGGAGGGTGACCTCGCCAGGACTGGTGGCCTTAGATGTCCCAACTGGGATACAGGACACTCTATACGGGGACCACGCCGAGGACAGGGGACCGACTATAAAACGGCCGACCGGCGTCAGATAGGCACAGTTCACCGCTGACTACCATCTCAACAACAACATGAAGCTGGTGAGTGAAGAGACGGAGGCACCAGCAGCACTCAGCGACGGCATGGCTAGCACCACGCTAAGGATATTGCCAAGCTGTTTGAATCAATAGTTGTTTCACAGTCACGGAGTTGCTGGACAAAGCTTCCGGCAATATTTTATTTTAAATTTGTTTATAATTTAGGTGCACACCTAGCCGTCTTTTTAACTGCACTGTCAACAAAATAATTAAATGAATTAAATAACTAAGATAAATTACTATTTACATGATACATAAACTTTCGACCCTATACTTGCAAGAGGTCGATGCCGTTGCAGTTTAGACCCTCCGCCATGACGTCTGTTCCGTTTCAGATCGTGTTCGCCGCCGTGCTGGCCGTGGCCGCCGCCGCCCCGTCGGAGCTCCCCTACGAGAGGGACATTGTCGAGATCCTCCGACAGAACATCGACCACAACGACGACCAGTCCTACCAACACTCGTGAGTATCTACACTGGCGACGGTCGGTCGACTGTTCGAACGGCAGTCAATTGTTCGAAAAGTGGTCGGCTTCTGTAATTGTTCTTACGTCGCAATACTCGAGATCAATCGTCAAGGAAGTTTCAAAGAGCATTTGAAGCCCAGCTTGGTATTCTATTTGTTGTGCCTTGCTTAGATCTTAGGGAAAGTAAAGTGGCTCTAAAAACGAGAAACATCTTTTGTTCAACAAAAAGACATTTGTAGTTTACATGTTTGTGAGAACCACCAAATCCTCATTTATGACAGTGTCTTCAGTGTTTTCTCTAACCCAACGCCCGCCTCTGTCCGCCAGTTTCGAGAGTGAGAACGGCATCTCTGTGTCGGAGTCTGGCGAGCCGGAGGACGACGACAGCTACAGCGTGTCGGGCCAGTTCAGCTACACGGCCCCCGACGGCGTCACCTACACGGTGGTGTACTCGGCCGGCGAGCAGGGCTTCCAGGCGCAGGGCGACCACCTGCCCACCCCGGTGCCCACCCAGTACCCCACCCCGGAGGTGTCTGAGGAAGAGGATGAGGAGGAGGAGGAGGAAGAGGATGATGATGAGGAGGAGGTCCGTGGGGAGCCCCAGTACGAGCGTGTCATCGTCGGATACAGGCCCCGCTACCAGTAGACCATTCGAAATGAGGCTGAACCCTATTAAGTGCCGATGAATATACTTCTCTATTTTTAGAGAAGTTGATGTTCTCTGATTTGTTCCTTGTGTGAAAGTTTCTCTATGTTCAGAGAGGTATTTATGGTTTAAGCAAGAGACAGTCATGTCTGTTGCTTTATTCATCCTTATTTATTTCTTATTGTCCTGTGATTGACTGTATGTTGTAATAATAAATATTTGTTATCATGATCACATGCCGTGTTTACTTTTGGCCAATTTGGCACGCCATCACCAGCACACGGTGACGGTACTGATCGGACACTCAAAGATCCGTGCGTAAGATCGATGATGCGTCACTCTTGAGTCAACCAGATCATCAATGCGTGTCCATCGGTTGTCTGATTGATCAATGTCTCTGCTAAACTGAGGCTCTCAGGCTAGCCTGTATCACTTGGGACCAACTGGCTTGGCGAGTTAAAACATCCAGTGACAATAACAGGTTAGGTATGCTGATCATTCTACTTATAGGACTTTGAGGTAAAGCACTTGCTACGAGACGACGGTCGCTCTAATTTGGTTAGCATTTCGACTATAGACTGTAGTGTTTTACAGTTATGCGGATAAATGCAATAATAAGCAAAGAAATTAAGTGACCTATGACGTAAGGAAGGAAGGATTTCCTATTAACCTCTGGAATGGCGTACCTCTGAGTTTGTGTAGACGTTGGTATGCAGTTGCAAAGGTGTACTGGCTGCCCATAGTCCAACCGTAAGCTGTTTCACTTGCTTCCAAAATGCCTATCAAAATCGTGTCGATATCGTGCACTGAAATCTTCCTTCTCTGCGCCCACCAAAACATTCACTTCAGTCTACAAGACGTCCCAGTAGGGTCTTGCATGCAGCTGGCACCGCATTCCGGCACCAATCGCCTTCGGTTTCCGTCTCCACGATCTTAATTCGCTCAACCATTTGGCAGTGGATACCGTCCATTGTCCTCCCTCACATGTTTGTTTGAAACTGCACAAGTTATACCGTATAGCTGGTCCTCACCGAGGAACCCGTTTCATGGAAGCTGATAAAGTAGTGAATGGTACAAGGTTAGCATCCTGTTCACAGATGGCACGACTCGTGTATCGCTCGGCACGATCTCCACACTGCAGTCTACTTCACAGGATGGTGGAACGCCTGAGCATGATCCGGTGATTATACAAGGCGATCCTTAGGTCTATTTCTACATAGCTCGGGTGTATGTGAAGTCCACCATTGTCTCCATGCCATAAACGTAGTGTGTGTGTCCATGTCTCACCGTCTTTTCAAATGGTCTCCATCGGTACATTGAACAGCGTGACCAATTCCTATTGACATGTCCTCAGCACTCTGCGCCGAGCTTGCAAGGTGGGGGAGGGAGGAGGCGTCAGGGTGTCGGCTACGGACAGTAAGGATGGCGTGTGCCCGTCTGTATGGAGGCCTTATCTGTACAGAAGATATATTTATTTCGTTTTTCTTACGTTTTTTACATGCATCATTTCAAATAGAATGAGGTTCCTTCCTAATTTATAAGAACGCACGAGCGATTACTGATTAGGTCCATTATTTGCTTTCCATGCAAATGTGTTGGCTCGGCTCTTGTGGACGCGGCTGTATACGAAGCAGCTCAACGGAAAGATAAAGGTTTAAATAAAAAATATCTCAAATCGGAATGCGGCAGTTACGGCAGCTGTATGCTTTTGTTTCTTACCTCTCGAGTCTCGCATACATCCGGTCTGTGCAGATCAGAAAAGAAAATGCAGGTAAGAAATATCGTGCTGACCTAGTATGAGCGAACACAGATTTTGTTATTATACCTACGAACAAACACAAATGTTTGGAGCTGAGGTGTTGCATATTTGGCCGCTGAATGGACGTGCACCATTAGCAATTCATGGTGGAGTGCTTTCCGCATATCTGCTGCAACCTCTGTTATGAAACTTGTCATATGTTTTATTATCGCGAATCCCATTTCAGAAAGAACTTCAATCACTTATGGGATTGGTTAGCGGAGTCGGCATATGATACATGTATGATAATAAAGCAAGAAATGTGGATACACATATACTTGCTTCAATACTTGCTCGTATCGTGTTTGATCCTAAACCAAACATGAAACACGCCTTGAAAATCAATGTACCTATTGTCATTAAGGGCACAGCATATACATTTTACCTACAGTGTACGTGCAGAAGCATAGAATTAGATATTATCTTTTTGCTACTGGAAATTACGGCTGATGTGAGCTGTGTGCTATACATTTATTTTTATCCGTACTTTCCTCCCCAAAGCCTCACAGAATGGGCTGATCTTTGCGAGCAGCCTTGAGCATTTATTGACTACCTACTGAAGTTCATCGACGTGGTTATTAGTTTGAGCTATATTCATAAGCATTTCGTTACAACTATGTAAAATAAGGGAAAAGGACGCAATATTGACGCAACAAACCGATGTCAAATAAAAATGTCCGTATAAGCTTACAATTAAACGCAACATTTCATTAAACACCGGGCGAGCACAGTGATCAGTCGATCAAGCGTGTGACCTTGCCATGGCCAGAGTTAGACAGATGTAGCTAATTTTGATCGGGACGGTTCCTGTGGTTTCGCTGTTGTAGAAGGCGCGTTCCTGCGGTGGTCCGTGATGGAGGAGGGGGTCCGCCCCGTCGGCTGGTCTCGATAGATCCACCCCCTGTGGCGTCTGATAGCTTCACGTGCCGCCACCCAGGCACACGAGAACAAGAGTTCGCCGCGGACTGCCCACGGCCAACAGAGAGCCTGTGAGAGCTCCGGAGAGCCGCCGACATGTTATAGTAGGCACGCTTCTGTGGTCTGCAAGGCTTGGGATCAGTACTGCGATCTGGTCAGCAGTACAAAGGAGTCAATATTTTACCCGATAATAAGAGCATATATTTGGTCTGGTTTATATGGAGGCCTGCGATACACCTATTACACCTTTTTGCACTCAAAATAGGCATCTTTTCATTCAATTTCGGCGAATTGCATTCCATTTTAGCGATCTCTCTATTCGAAGCAAATGAGAGATCGCTAAAATTGAATGCAATTCGCCGAAATTGAATGAAAAGATGCCTATTTTGAGTGCAAAAAGGTGTACAGTGTACACAATGCGCATACATTGCAATAGACATTGCCAAAGGAAACGGAATGTGGAGTAAAACATACCTAATATACCTTCGCTAAAATAAACCTTTCTTCACCGATACTCAAACTCATACATTTTAAAAATCAACTAGCGAATAATTGGATCATTTATATGTAAATGCCCACATTTCTAGCGGCTCAAGAGATTCTTCCACACAGATCCCACATAATTCATAACCCACAGGGCACAGATATATCCAAATGGTTGTTCGCTTAGAACCGATCGTATGTTTGCGGGCTGCTAAACAACTTTAGAAACCGAAGGCGCGCGTGTCTCAGCATGCGTGGACTGAACAGGGACACCCTCTCCGGCAGTACGAGTCATATGACCTTGAGCAAGGTCAGCCCAAATAACTACCGGAAATGAATTACAAGGAGCTTTGGAACACGAACAACACTCACCGTGCTGTATCACATGTCCGAGCGATTCTTGGGAGCATGTATTTCACTGGCTCGACTGACTGCTAAACGCCGATGTATCTGTTCTTTTCGTCGTACGATCGGGATGGTCGGTATGATCATGATGGTCCTGTAGTTCTCATTCCTTTCGTTTCCAAGCGCAAGGCTTACCTACCCAATACCCATGTCCTTATCTTTTTTTTATCACCCGCCGCTTTCCGGGATGCTCGTTAGCAGGAAACCAGTTCAGGCAATCACTATGCAACAAAAAATGAAAGATTTTCTGTTCCTGGAAAGCGACCGAACTTTTCTTATTCATTGGGTCCTATCATAACCGAAATGGGCATTAGTTTTGATCTGAAAATGTTTTTTCCGGTTTTCAGGGCCGATTTTCGATTTTTGGCGCCAAAATTCGGTTTTGGGCCCACCGTGTCCGATGTAATTGAGCAATCGATTCACGGTAACTTTCATCGTCTTTCCTATGCCACGTGCTTTCGAATGATACCTGGTTTTGCATACTTGCGCCTTAAAATGACGTCATAAATCTATGTTAAAGTTAGAAAATGTTAAAATTTGGGATTTTTTAAACATTTTTTTCCATTTCGTTTCAAAATAGAGGAAAAACTAAAGGCCCTATCCAAATTCTGAGCCCAGTTCCTTGAAGAGCATTCAATTTCCGTTCGGAAGGTACTTTTTTAGTGCATTTTATCGGATTCCTGTGACGTCCAGATTGAGTTAACCTAAACACATATCCTAGGTCATATCACATAGCATTAACCTGATAACGTATGTTAACGCCATAGGGTCAACGAGGGGTCAACTGAGGTCATGTTGTTGACCCCTTGTGACCTCGGGTCACACGCAGGAACTTACTTTTGAGCAGTCCTGTCGCTCAGAATCTTGATCTGTACCTCCATTTGTTAGAGTGATTCTTCATGCACTGAACACATTTTGTCATGGAAATGGCTGGGGGCCCGTTTTTGAAGTGACTCAATCTGGACGCCACAGTAAACCGATAAAATGCACTAAAGTAGTACCTTCCGAACGGAAATTGAATGCTCTTCAAGGAACTGGGCTCAGATTTTGGATAGGGACTTTAGTTTTTTCTCTTTTTTGAAATGAAATCGAAAAAAATGTCAAATTTTTACAAAATTTCAACATTTTCTTACTTTAACATGGATTTATGACGTTATTTTTACACGCAAATATGCAAAGTCGGATATCATTCGAAAGCTTGTGGCATAGAAAAGGCGATGAAAGTTACCGCGAGTCGATTACTCAATTACACCGGACACGGTGGGCCAAAAACCGAATTTCGGGGCCAAAAATCGAAAATCGTCTCTGAAAACCGGAAAAGCATTTTCAGATCAAAACAAATGCCCATTTCGGTTATAATGAGACCCAATGAGTCCAAAAAATCGGTCGTTACTCAGGAACAAAATGACTGTTGCATAGTGTTATGTGTTCAATCTTCAGCAAACTTGTCATGATCAGTTCATCAAATGCATTATCGATCTCGAAATACCCGTAGTTCACATTCGACCACAGGCTTCCGAACGTTCCTTATCACTCCTAAGAAAGAAAAAACGGCGAATATGGCAGAAAGACACCCGCAAAATGGCAGATGATGTTTACAGGTGCGTAACTCCAAGCCGGTTCCAGTTAAGATCGTGACTTAATAATAAAATGTTTCAACCTATCTTTATTATCTACCCATATGGCTAAGCAAATGATTCTGGGCAACGGATGTGCGGGATTTCATGCATACTTCATGAGCGCAATAAAACCGGCTAACGGCTGTATCATGCATTTGTCACTGCTTAAAACTGAAATGAATGAAATAATAAACATATAACTGAAGCTTTGCTTTTCAATGACCTGCTGTTAATTTGTCAATTCTGCCACACAAGGATCAAATGACAGCCGGCGATGGCGTTCCCGCAAGGGTAGGTATCAGATATCGATACCAATAAATCTGCCAAATGCACGGTGTCCTTATCCACATAAACGTTCGGTTCGTATGGATTCGTCTTGACTCGATTTTCCTTTACCGTATAGCTATTAAATTGGATAAAAGCATTGCTGGCAGCATCAACATTACTGTGGTAGTACTAACACAGCGATTAGCGAGTTTATGACAGTAACAGAGCTGATTCCATCACCGCAGTGCTAAAATGCAACACGTGGAACATGCTGGTAAACAATATCACGTGACGGCATGGTGCTAATGGAGGGCTATCATGTCTTAAAGTCCATGTAAAGACGTGACATGATCATTTATAAACAGTTTAAGAATGATAAATTAAGCCCATTCCCTTTCCTATCCTGCCTGGCGCAGAGTAACCGTAACTAATATATACGGAATGTCCACTGCGATTGCTATCACTGGATAACAGCTCAAATTCAATAGGACTGTGAAATGGAATTGCTAAGAACGATTGCATCTCTGTGAAAGATCACCACTAGCCGTCTATATCGCTTTACTTGCATGTTGGGACGAAACCTTTGCCCACGAAAAGATTCGTAGGTATAGGAGATATGGACAGTTTGTTTGCGTCATGGTAACTTAGCCTGCATTATAGTGGGCGTAGTGATTTCATTGATACACAATATCTGCAGGGCCGACTTTCCTGCGCATTGGGCTATCAATCGTGTGGTGAGAGCATACTTCCAGGAAACGAAGGATACGTGGAATGCATTACCATAAGATTTTAACAGCACTTTGACCTTTCCACTAGTGATGGTGTGCCGTTTATGGCTTTGGGCACGCATGTGTAACGCTTTAACGTTACACTCGTGTGTGACGTGTGAATATACCTGATCAAATGCGCTAATAAATAGCTTAACCATAACGCATGCTTAAGAATTCACTAGCCCTTTCAGACGCACTCAGGAAAGTCTCCGGTGTTGCAAACTTTGGCAAAATTGCTGTTAGGGACTCCGCCGACTTTATTCAAGAAATACTGCCTACAAATATTAAGTTTTAGGTCCACAAACGACACGTTTTCCTCAAGAATTTCCTCAAATGTGAAGCTTCCATGCAACGAATAAGCCTACAAACTTTATGTGCATTGTGCATTTAAGTTTATTCGGTCGGAAACGCCTGTATGACACACCTGTGAGCACAAGTCATTCTCTGTGGTGCTTTAGGACGTCTCGTTAAAACTTGATTACCTGGCCGATGTAGCATTTGCCCAGGTCTCGGCGAAGAGCTCACCTATCGTAGAGTCGATTGCGCCGATGATCAGGAGCACTGCCGTCAGGATGCGGTCAGGAGCGACCATGGCAGCAGCCGCAGCTCCCAGCGATCACCTGTCACTTGCTGTCACTGATCAGTGATCACCGATGACAGATATCAGACACTAGCTGTCACTGATCAGTGACCACCGATGACAGATATCAGACTCTAGCTGTCACTGATCACTGCCACCGCCACTGCCTCACAGCGATTACGGATAACGGTCGCTCGTCACTAAGCCACTCGCAAATCATTCATCACTGTCCATGGTCGCACGACATAATGTCACTGATATATTTCAGCGGTCACCGTTTCTACTAAAATCTACACTGTCGCCTGCACGGACTCACTCCCGATTCACACTCCTCGCGTCACCAGCGCAGTTCAGTCGTCGCACGGATTGCAGCTAAGCGCTCGTGACCGCACCACCGTCCTCCACTGAAGCCGAGTTCCATCTGACCACCGCAGGCAGCGTGGCTGGGAACTGCTCACTGCCCGGCCAACCGGCCGACGGGGGGGGGGGGCTGAGAGGGGCAGGCGCCGGGTGGGGGGGGAGGGGGGCAGGGCTCGGAGGAGTCCGCTCCAAATTCACACTCCCGTTGGCGGCTGGCTAGGAGGAATACTTCGGCCCGATCGGAACGGTATATGTAAATGCTGAAAGTGAGACGAAGAACAAAACAGCTAGAGAATCGAGAGGTGCTTACCAGGCAGCTAATGATCTATAAACTGTACGCTTATTATCACGCATTTTCATAAATAGGTGGGTACAGTATCCCCCCCCCCTAGTATCAAGCAGCAAAGAAAAGTTGATCAACAGGGTGCCATTTTTTAATGCATTACTATTAAAATCTCACATCCGTATGAAATTCGTGGAAATATCTTCCTTAATTTAAAAGGAATATAAATTCGCTCTTGAATGGTTATGAAATATGCAAATTTTATTTGCAGAGATGTCACGCCTTGGTCTCGCAGGCTTCACGAATGTCACCTGGATTTAAGTTATTTGGTAAGATATCGAATATTTTGCAATGAACCAAAAATATTCTAGGGAGCTGCGTTGCATGCATTGACCTCATTATCCGTCCGTAATAATAAGTGATTGTCACTTTTTAATGTTTTTAATGGCTGCAGTGATTGGCTGCCTCCCATAAAAAAATGTCAAATCCACAATTGAATAAGTTTCAGACGTAATGGGCATGAGCTTGTCTTAATTCGTTTACTTGCACAGGACCAGATACGAGGACGCGAGCTGTACTTTCCATCTTACTCGGGTCTCACTCCATCTTAACCGCACTCAGATCTGGGTAGCTATGGCAAAGGGCCACGACCGTTAGTAAAAACAGCCGAGGCTCATCTAGAGCTTCTCAGCTGGGCGCCAAAGCCAATCGTCGTGTTCTGGTGTTCGCCAACACCGATCCATCAGCAGCGACCGACGGACATCGGAGCACTGTCGAGGTCAGCAGCCGACTGACAGACATCAGACCAGTGAGGGTCCTCAGCCGAGCGACAGACATCGGAGTCACCGCTGTCATAGAGAGCCGACACGATCCCCGAGGTTATCCGATGGTCCGTCCCCGTGCCAGCTGTAGCGAGCACGGAACTGGCAGCTTTTGCTGAATGTGCTGTCACACAGTTTGGTTGACAGGTGTTAGCACGACATCTTATCACAATTTGCGCCGAATGTTGAAATGATTGCTTGGTATTCATCCGAATGGGTGAGAAATGAATATAGAAAATCAGCATTTTATTTGTTCACATTCCTTGTGCAATGTGCACTAAATCCGAAATAGGTCAGTAGAAGCAGGTTAGTCTTCTTTTTAGAACGCACTCGAGATTCCGCCAAAATGTACGATTTAAAATGTGGAGTGTTCACCTTATGATTGTATGCATACGAGGGTAACGTGAATCTTTATGTCTCAGCATACGGTAATGCTGCCGTGATCGGTGCAACAGCGACATACGTCAGAGTTCCGTCATACCTGCTGTCATTTTTTTTAGGCGTATGCACATTGCGTACCGCCGACCTTCCAGAGGGTCAAAAAGTTATTTTTAACTTCAAGTGCTCATTCCTTAGGCATATACGCAGTGCATTCATGCATCCGACACGGAGCGGACCAATGCACCATGAAGCCAAGTCACTTCGGTCGAAGTTTCCAAAGAAATTCCTCGTGTCGCACTGCACGAGCACACCATGCATGGGGTTGGTACCGTTGCACACGGCCACCGAATAGTGGACAGCTGCAGGAGGCGGTGTGCCTCGCATTCACCAGGACTTTTATCAGGCCAATACCTGCTGCACGGAGCTCAGATTTGGCAGCAACTACTATCGGTAACAAGTTGCGGTGAAATCCAAATCAATTAGTCACGAAACGGCAATGTGTTTGGGAACAAAAGAACCAGCCACTGCCCGTCTAGATGACAGGCGGTGTGACTTTATTCGGTAATGTTATCGGTAACCGCTGACACAATCGTAACCAAAACGTCACCCATTGATGTCATTTTCAAACAGAATGTTTGCTGACGTTAGCCAATTACAGGACAAGACTTTTTCTCAGAATGAGCACGCAATTTGGATAGGTATTTGATGACTTCCTTTCCGGGAACTGAAAGGGAATTCATAATTACTTCGTCTTCGTTACTCTCCGATAATTCCGACGCTTGACTGTCGGAACACATAATATGAGATCATCTACATTCTACACGCATCTAGGCTGTAGGCATTCGGACGCATATACCTACGCAGTGAAAAAAACAACAAAGAAACAAAAAATCGTACCGTAAAAATCGTAAAAGTCGTAACGCTGAGAGGCGCGAACAGTCATCGTGGCTCAAACTCCTTGGATACTTAACTCTCTAGTTCCTGTATCGAAAGGTCGTGTTTAATGTCTATTGTCTAATAGGTATGCATGACGCATGTATGTACCTTCTGACCTAAAATCTTACATGCGGCACGCCGTTATACCAAACCTAGGCTGATGCATTCTCTGGACATGGACAGGCACCGGAAGTCAATACCATGGCTTACTATCGTTGTCGACTGTCTTTTACCCGTTGAGCGCAATGGATGGCCTGTCAGCACACGATTTGGCGGCACATAACAGCACATGTGGCCCATTGTCACCTCACGTTTTCTTTTGGCTCAGTCACCTTTATAGGACAGCCGGCTCTCGTGTTGTGAAGTGATTAGCCTCCACACCACCGTCTTCGATCGGTGAAAAACCCGTTTGTTTATGCCGATATCGGCGACATATTAGGACGAGACAATACCGCCAGGTATGAGTTTTATTTGATCGGAGATTCAATATCATCCGATTTAGTCAATTGAAGCTTTCGTTGCAGGAAATTGGTTCAATTTTTCCGAGAAGGTTCAATATGATGTTACCGACAACATGTGAAAATAAATCAACAACGGGACAAATACACCCGAAACCGTATTTCTGGAAGCAAACATAACAAAAAGCGTTGTCAGTGGCGCCAGATCGCCCAAAGCATTTCGAAAATATTCCAATAAACACCTTTGACGTCTGGCCTTGTTGAAAGCATTGACATGTCCCCGCTGATTTCAGCCTTCTTCCAGCTCCAAATGTGGTGAGGACATGCCCTTTGGCCGCATCACCAGCTTATCAGTGCATCTGCGAACAACACGGCTGGGTTCCATATGCGGCGCTACACCGGTGCACAGGCCAGGCCGGTGCCGAACAGAGACCGGGGCTGAGACGGGATCGACGAAGGACGGAGCTCAGGGGCGACGACAATGAATCGTCAACTGCGCCTGGATCATCATCAACTATCGGATCAAGACTAGAATCGCTCTTTAGTCAACGCACTTCGGCCATTGAAAGCTTTAACGCTTCTCCGCCGATGTATTCTGGCCTCCTCCAATAAGTGCGTGCTGCCGAGTCCCACGAATGTGAATGGATAACCCACAGGATATAACGCGCCCGGCGGCCAGCCGGGTCCTTCCTGCACGCGTGTGCACTGTGCAAGAAATTAAGGGAAGTTGTGACTGGATTTCAGAACTAACTACATAGCGGCTCACTTTTGGTCATGTCCAATTAATGATAGAAAGTAGAAACACTGTGTAAAGTATATGTTTGAGAATGGCATGCGCAATAGCAAACTACAAAGGTGAGCGTCATCATTCCGTCATCGAGCGCCAACATTCTGCACCAATTTTCCCGGAGCATGACGACATTCTGCCCGCAGAGTGCACGGAGACTTACTGCTGACGTAAGCAAATGCGGTGAGTTCGATCTGCTTGGCGATTATCTCGTGACAGAAACTAGTCTTGTTAGTGCAGCAGCATTCAATGATCCGAATTTTACCGCCTGTGGAGTGTGGTGATTCTATCAATAAAAGTCCCCAGTGTGGTGCGATGTCTCCAGTTTTGCGATGGCCGGATCCTGTGCTGCTGCTGCTGCTGCTGCTGCTGCTGCTGCTGCTGCTGCTGCTGCTGCTGCTGCTGCTGCTGCTGCTGCTGCTGCTGCTGCGGCTGCTGTTCAGAGCTGAGTGATGCCGCTAAGGTGATACTGAATCTGCACGACTACTCTGACTCTCGTGCACCGAAATAGCTGTCACGCTCGACGGGTGGACGACCTGCTCGGTTTAACTTGATCACGGGGACCGGTGTTCGCCGAAAAACTATTTCAATAAGAGCACTCAGTGACATTACCTTTCACTGGTCTTATGACATAAGCTGTCCGTTCCTTTCAGTCACTTGTTGGTTACATATTATACCTGTTGCTAATGTGGATTCATTTCCTATGTTGAACCATAGTTTATGCCGTGAACATGATAAAAATATTGCTGAGAATTTTTTATGTATTGGAGACTTGGAGGTATATTGAGATAGCGCCATTTATGCTACTAGTAAATAAGATCAACATGAGAGCTTTGAGACAAGAGTACGTACTTACATAGATATCTACCGAATTGAAATAGGAAAGATGGCTGCGATGTTTCAACGAGCGGGATAGATAAGTCAGTTTCCGCCGTTGACGGCATGCAAATCTATTCAGTCCAGTGAGTCTAACACCTTTAAAAACATCCACCGACAGGGTGGCGCCTCATCACACTCCAAGTGACGTGTTTGCCGAAAAGGACCTCGCGTGGGAGGTGAGTGATGTCGATAATAGCCGGATCGAATCGGCTCTTCCCCAATGGTCATTTGTATGTCTGTGTGAGTGGCTTGAAAGGGGATTTAATTGGAAAACAGGAATCCGTATAAAGCTTGCTTGCTTTTTAAACTTTTCAACGTTTGGCTGAGATGATGACGTATATACAATACATACATGTATGTGTAATAGATACCGAATTATGCATGCACCTACCTTCTATCTGATGGCTGAGCTATATGCATATTATCACCCTGGCTTTTCCAAATGTTGACCACCGCCTAAAGCTCAGCTTTTTTTGCTACATCCTGTCCACTTCCGCCGTCACTGGCTCAGGTGGCAGCACTGCGAACCGGCAGGTAGCAGCACGGTACGCGCCGTTAGCACCGCATGTAATGTGCACTGACTGAATTGGACTGAATACTGGACGTTGCACACGAACGGTGCTTAGGTAAGCTTAGGTGCGTATGTAAGCTCGCATTATTTCCACGGCAGGGCGAAGACTGCGCTCCGGCTCGTCTCATATACCGTTTGCTACGCCCTAAAACCAGTGTCAGAGGCATCTACAAGCTGCTGAGAAAATAGCCAGAAATAGTCCCAAAAACAGCAAAGTTATATAGACTTAAAAAAGGCGGTTACAATGCCGTTTCGGGGCAGCTCTTAGCTCTTTAACCCCTTGACTCTAAGCTCCTTAGCTCCATAGCAACAAAAATGTTTTTTAGAAACAATTTCGGGAAAGGCAATGGGAACGTGTTGTTTTTATATTAAAATTGGTTACACATGTGTTTCGGGAATAATCCCTTGATCACACCATATAAAAGTAACTACCTATATCGAAATACAATCGAGGTCGAACGGGGTCGAATGGGGTGAACGTCCCCATTCGACCCCGTTCGACCTCGATTGTATTTCGATATAGGTAGTTACTTTTATATGGTGTGATCAATGGATTATTCCCGAAACACATGTGTAGCCAATTTTAATATAAAAACAACACGTTCCCATTGCCTTTCCCATTTATATCAATACGTCTATGTAATAATAATAAGCAATTTCCTATGTGCACGTTCTTTCAATGCTCTCATCCCATGGTAAGATGAAGCCACCAGGTTTCACACCACTAATACATTGATATATTGCAAGGTTAGCCTTCTCGAGCACTGATGTGCATTGTGCAGTCTGGACCATGTCTGTCCAGGGTACAGGCGTGTCTCGTATCTCGGTTGGACCTCGGACCATGAGCAAATCAATCACCGCTGTTGGGTGGGAACATAAACGGACCATAGGAGGCCTATGGTCAAATGACTGTGTAGTGTCTATTGCCCGGTGAACGTTGTTGAAGACGAGTGACAAACGTACTTTTTGATGGCCCTTTTTGAGTTCCATTATCCGTGAGGTGTTCAGTCTGAGCATCTAACAAAGTGGATAAACAATGATACTCTCTCACATTGTATTGGTCAAGTCAAACATCGTATATGGAAAAAGGATAACAGCGGGCTCACTAGTCACTAGCCATTCGAGTGAATACTGCATAGGATGAGCAACAACAACCACTCCGCTCCTCCCCGGTGCCGTCTGTCCCCCTAGACTGCCACCACCTTGTTGGTGATGGTGCCGATACCTTCCACGCCGCACTCGACCACATCTCCGTGTTTGAGGAAGACGGGCGGCTTCCTGAACACGCCGACCCCGGGCGGCGTGCCGGTGAGGATGACGTCTCCGGGCAGCAGGGTGATGCCGCTGCGGGAGAGGTGTGAGACCACCTGGCGACAGTCGAACACCAGCTGCGCCGTGCTGCCCTGCTGCTGGGTCTCGCCGTTCACCCGGCACCAGAGCGACAGATTAGCCGGGTCCAGGCTGTCCGCCGTGGTGATACACGGTCCTAGAGGACAGAACGTGTCCATCGCCTTGCCGACGAGCCACTGTCCGCCGTTCCGGCGCAGCTGCCAGTCGCGCGCCGACACGTCGTGCGCCACCGTGTAGCCGAAGATGTAGTCGTCTGCCTGTTCGGGGCTGACATCTCGGCACTTCTGGCCGATGACCACTGCCAGCTCCACCTCCCAGTCGAGCTGTGAGGTCACGGCAGAGGGCAGCTCGATGGCGTCTGACGGGCCCACGATACAGCTCGGGAACTTGTTGAACACCACTGGCTCGGTGGGCACAGGCATGTTCTGCTCGGCGCAGTGGTCCACGTAGTTCATCCCGATGCAGAGAACCTTATCGGGGGAGGTGATCGGCGCGAGAAGCTTGACTTCTGACAGAGGCACGGCATTGGCTGTGGCTTCGGCAGCCTTGAGGAGCTCCAGGACGTGCTGGCGTGATCCGAGCTGCAGTAGCTTTACAGCCGAGTTGGGGAGATTTGGATCGGTCAGCAGCTTCACGGTCGATTCGTCTGCCGACAGCAGACCGATGTGGTCCTTGCCGCCATGCGAACACTGCACTAGCTTCATGGCTGTGTCACCTCTCAGTACCACTGACCAAACCCTCCTCTACCCTCCCAGCGACCACCTCGGACGGATCGACCGCGGTCACTGAGCAGTGAGCCCCCTCCGAGAGTGGTGTGCCAGACACCCCTCCCCTCCGACCACCAGCCGGCCGACCAGACCCACTTCAAGGCCGCGCCGCGTGGATACAGGGCGGTTCGATAAACAAACCAAGTGCCGGTCCTCTTGACGCCTCTTTACGGCTGGCGAATGTCATGAAACTCAATTGTCACAGAGTCTGGCTCATCTATCCAAGTAACGGTATCGTAGCGCTACGTCTTTGTTTTAGCGCCTTCCTGGATATCAGGAAGGAATGAAGCGAATTGATTAACCTACAAAATCAATAACACCTGATTCAGGCGCACTGAGAAAGCATTGAAAACTCGAGGCCGATCAAACTTATGCACCCCATAGGCCATGTGTATGACCTTGTTATGCACATTGCACTCAGCAGATAACATCCTGCATTGCACACAGCATCCTGATTTCACTTTTCACTTATCTGCACATTGAAGACGTGCAAATGAGCTGCGCTGAACTTTCGGATATATTGTTCGGAAGTCGGATCATTCGTATCGTGCACAAACTGTGTTTATACAGTCGGTCCCGTATCGGGTCCTGGGTATACAATCGCTGACAGTGCTAATGGTAGCTTGTTGCCTCCTCTCGCTAGCAAAACTGCATAGTAATTGAGTTTATGTTGACCGGTTTGTTGTGTTGAATTTGCATTATCATAATCTTAGGTATGTAGGCAGGGTTGATCTAAGTGTGTGTGGATTAGGTACGTTTTGCACACATTTGAAGAAATCGCAGTTTATAGAAAAATGCCTTGCAACACAGTTTCGTATTTGTAGTGTAGCTATATTTGCTATTTACAAAACCTGACATTAGAACACCGCATTCATAAGATGTTATTCGATGTTAATATACATCACATAATCAAAAAAGCAAATTTTTAGGGAAACTAAGCAATTAACTCATATTGCGTGGATCAAACGTTGACATTATTTATGAATAAGATTACACGACAGCTCCCATAAGCGCAACGCACTTCTAATCTTTTCAATCGCAATTTGACGAGCTTACCTCATTTCACGTTATACTTATGCAATATGCATGTCATAGATTGAACCATTTATTGAGACTTGAGGCATTATCCATGTATAGTCTGACATTATTCATACACAACTTAGTATGTTATTCATTGAGGCTCAGCGTTGTCGCCTTACTGCATTGCGAAGCGCTTCGCCAATCAATTCCACTTGGTCCCTGTCTTATCACTGCAATGCTGCAAGTACAACATTTATACAAAAGAACATATGCATATTGCATTTTACTTTGATATAATAGGCATGCAGAAAGGCTACAAAAGCACAACAAAGTGGCACGTTAACAGCAAGACACGAGGGCTCACGAAAAAGTATCGTCTACAAAACATCCAGTCATTACGATATTTTGTTCAGTTCCCTTTTGAGGTCTCTGATCTGCACGCCTAAACGACTGTCAATAAGATCATTTTAGTCTGATCAGCCAATATTCTAAGCTAGTAGAACCAGAGCAGATCACACTTCCACACCAAAAGCAGAAACCATTTCTCTATTTAGTCAGTTGGCGCACTGATAAGTTCTGTCACTTCAAGAAACGGCACTGCTCGCGCAATTAAATCAAACATTTGACTCATAACCTGTCTGAGCTATTGGTCCGGTCAGACAAGCTGTATATCCGGCCAATGAGTTGTGGTCCAGTCAGATGAGATGCCAGTTCGGTCAGAGGACGTCCAACTAGACTAGTTAGACTTGATCGGCTGAGTTGCAAGTCCAATCTATCGAGCTGTCGGTACGGTAAGCTAAGTCCCCGTTCCCAACAGATCAACGGTCGATCAAATCAGAAAGTTGTCGATCCGACCATCTGTCTGATCATCTGCCTAACCGACCTGTCAGTTGTCAGTCATATGAGCTATCGTTCGATAAGATGAGCTGTCGTTCAGTCAGCTGAGTTGCCGGTCATTCAGATGAGTTGGCAGTCGATTAGACAGCCGGCGTTCAGCTGAGTTTTTTGTTCGATCAGATGAGTTGTCGGACGTAGGTGGCCGGGAAGATGCCGATGGTGCCTCGCAGCTCTCCCAGCCACCATCCATCCGGCTGACGGTCATGGACCTCAATGACGTCACCTGTTAAAATGCGGTCAAGGGTCAGCGCGACAGTCATTATGGCAGTCAACGGGACAAACTGCTCCCCCAGCCACCATCCTTCCGGCTGACGGTCATGGACCTCGATGATGTCCCTTGCCAGAGACGGCTAAGTGTCAGTCTCAAAGGAGCAGCTGCTGCGTTCATATAAAGCACTCCGAAACCGGCAATATTACCGTTGTGTTGGTTACTTAGATCGACTGTCTATATTGCATTTCCAATAGTTACAACTGGACTGATATACGAAGGTAGTCTGCCTTAAGGAAATTAATTAAGTTATGTTATCTTTGCCTGAAAAGTAAATACGAAATAAATGAATGGAATTCATGTCGGTTTTAAATGTAATAAGAGTTATAACGTGACTGACCTGCTCGGATGGTGAGCTCATCGTTCATGTTGGCCTTGTAGTCGTAAATGGCCTGATACCGGTCGCGGCATGGCGCCCCCTCGGGCGGGTCTTTGACCGGGTCACAGGTCGGCTCAGCTGTTGGCGGTGACGTCACAGCCGAGACAGATGTGGATTCAGGTGGACTGTCTTCTGTGTTCAGCTCATCTGGAGAACAGATACCACAATAACCTCATACAGGTGGGCAGGTGCGCTCTGCGCAGGACAAAGAACAATAAGAGCTGCGCCGTCTGTAAAAGCTTCAAAAATATATGAATAATTCATCCGTGGGATATTAATTGAGAGACAAGGTAAAACATACAGAATGAACACGTGTGCAAAATTTGAAGTCTATTTCTTCAAAAATGGCTGCGCTAGAGCGTTTTAAATTTACACGTTGAAAACGGTCACTTTCACGTCATTTTTGTAAAAAAATTCAAAATTTGAAATTTAAAGTGTTTTGGGCAATTTTTCGCGTTAATTGCGAAAATCTGACCAAAACATGTATCGCACCATCAATGATCCGATACGCCATCAGAGACCGCGCCGCGGACAGGTGGGCGCGGCGATACCTAGGCCGCGTGGGGGTTACACTGGTGTTCGGGAAGGGCTATGTCAACGCGAGGCAGGCCGCGGGGGAGCCGGTTGCGGCGCCGGTCCGTATTTGTCGGCGCCTAACAGTGCAGCGGTGCGTTTATGGCGGAGGGAGGGGAAGCGTTGTAGTGTCGGCAAGGCCGCACACAGGAGAGGGCACACGGGCCTCCCCCCATTCGAGTTGGGGCCCCTAATCTTTAGACCGCCGAAGACCATGTAAAATGAACTGAAATAATGATTGAAAAGGCCGGGAAGGCCCATCTCGTTCCCCAGCAGGCCCATACGAGTCCATAAATGCCCAGTAGCGTAGCCAGGGGTATTGTGGTGAAATTTCAATGGCCCTCAAAAGACCTCAAAGGGCCCACAGATGGGGTCACCGGGTCCTCAGATGGTCTCAAAGGGCCCTCGGTTAGCGTCAAATGGCCCTCAGATGGCCGAATGAAGGGCCACAAGATGGTCTCAAAGGGCCCTCAGATGGGTTCAAAGGGCTCTCAGCCAACGTTAAACCTACCTCAGAAGACCTTAAAGGGCGTCAAAGGGCCCTAAACCTGCGTCAGAGGGCCCTGAGCTCGCGTCAAACGACCCTCCGAAGGCCTTAAAGAGTCCTTAGCTTGTGTCAGAGGGCCCCCAGCTGGTGTCAGTGAGCCCTCCTCAGCTGGCGCCAAAAGTCCATCTGAAGGCCTCAAACGGTCATCAGCTGGAGTACAACGGTCCTCAGATGCCGTCACGCGGCCCTCAAAAGCCTCAAGGAGCCTTTATAAGGTCTCAAAGGGCCCTCATTTGGCCTCAAAAGGCACTCCGCTAGCGTTAACCGGACTTCAGAAGGCCTTAAAGGGCCCTTATCTGGTGTCAGAGGGCCTCCAGCTAGTGTCAGAGGGCCCTCAGTTGGCGCAAAATGGCCATCAGAAGGCCTCAAACGGTCCGTAACTGGAGTCCAACCGCAACGGTCCTCAGGTGGCGTCAAGCGGCCCTCAAAAAACCTCAAAGGCCGCTTAGAAGGCAGCAAAGGGCCCTCATATGACCCCAAAGGGTCCTCTGCTGGCGTCAAACGGACCTCAGAAGGTCTCAAAGGGCGTCAAAGGGCCCTGAGCTCGTGTCAAATATAAAAGCACCCTTAGCTGGTGTCAGGAGGCCCCCAGTTGGTGTCAGCGTGCCCTCAGCTGGTGTCAGAGAGCCCTCAGTTGGCATCTACTGGCCATCAGAAGGCCCCAAACGGTCCTCAGATGGCGTCCAACGGTCCTCAGCTGACTTTAAGAGGCTCTCAAAAGGCCTCAAAGACCCCTCGGCTGCTGAAGAGGCCCTTAGCCTCAAAGGAAAGTCAAGAGACGTTAAACGGCCCTAAAAAGGCTTGAAAGGGCCCTCTGCTGGTGGCAAAGGGCTCGCATATGACATCAATAACAGCTTTGTCAAAAACGGACCTGAGGGACCTTGCCGGTCCCTGGTTATAAGGGACTCCTGTCTCTTGCAGTAACCTGAGTGGCCCACGTTTACTGAGGGGCCCCTGGTTATTGAAGGAGTCCCTGGTTATTGGAAGGACCCCTGGTTATCAGAGGGTTCCCTGGTCACCTGGTGGGTCCCTGATCAATCGAAACCTCCCAATCATCTGAGCGCCCCCTGATTGCCTTGGTCTTGGCGTTGGCGTACAGTTTAAAGTCGTCGGCACACTGCGGCCTCCTCTTTCTCAACAAGTCCCTCTATTTCTTCTGCAGCGAGGGCGATTTCGTCAAAATACTCCTCCATCGCGAAGCCTCGTGCGCAGACGCAGTCTTCGGGGCGCTCGCTGCGCCAACTCTTGACGACAACTGACGGGCTCCAAATGGAACAGATGGACTCCGAAACGAACGTGGGAATGCCGACACATGATCCCTCAAAATTTACAGAGGAGGAGATGTCCCTGACAGCCCCTTTGCAATAGGGGTCACTTTTACACTATAGACGTATGGGGAATTCGACCTTATCGACATGGTACTACGAGGTCAGCTGATCTGCTTGGCATTTAAATCGTAGTAAAACTGGCATTTAAACGCTGCGAAACAACTTACGTACAACGTAGCTCCGATTTGCCCCTCTTTCTTTTTCATCCCTCCGATTTTCTTCCGATCAAGAGAAGTTTCGTACCGAGAGAAGTTTCGCAGCCACGTCCGATATAACTTGCGATAGCACGGATCCCCCCAGCCATACAGAAATTATTCGTTACGGTGAAAAGGTATTGCTTATAATGGATTTATTGACAAGCTACACAAACTCTGAACTCGGTTCAACAAGCTTCCATTTCTGACTCTCGCTTATTATGGCGAAGTGACCCACAACTCACCCGAGTCTGATGGCGGCCTCTGGGAGGTCCCGTCGGCCGTGCCCCGGTCACGATCGGCGCTCCACGCGGGAGAGTGGTCTGGAGAGGAGTCGCTGGGCTCCAGGTTCACCCAGTTCGGTACCTATGGCACAGGCGCACAGTTCGAACAGTCAGTCTCAGTCTCAGAATTCAGTACTATTTTCAGGACTCTGGAGCACTGCTTTGACGCATAGTTGCATGCATTTCACTTGGGGGCGTTCTTCAGTACGTCTTATCTGCACTTGACCTGCTGAACAGTCTTAGCACTCGCTAAATTATGACGTTCCTGTCTTCCAAGTTTCCCTCACCCGTAGCACGCTCCGAACCATGCTCTGTCTGTCCGAGGTGTGGTATCTGTCTCACCCGTAGCACGCTCTGGACCATGCCCTGCCGGTCTTTGAGCTGCTGAATATGCCGGCTGAGCGGGTGCTGAGGTCGGGGCTGGCCCTCCGTCTCCGCCAGCGCCGCCTGTACCTTGAACCGACTGGCCTCCAGGTACGCTAGCGTGGAGCGCAGCTATGGGCACAGAGGAAATCAAGTTATCCATTAGCCACCGGTCTAGACGGGGGGATTGTTACCGTTAGTAGTTCACGGCACAACACGGCATTGTCTGAATATAAAATGTCTATAATAGTCATAATAATCCTAATAATTACCTAAAAAAATAACAATAAATCAAATTTAAATGGGCATATGCTTTTGTCAAATCTAGAGCGCCACAAGCCCACGGACTTACGTGTTGCAGCTTCTCCTTGACGTCCTTCTGAGAGCTCTCGGTGCTGAACTGGGGCGACTCTTTCATGGCCTTGGCTAGGTTCTCCACGCCGCTTTTCCCCCTCCTCTCCCGGCCGACATCCTGCTCCAGAAGGCGCGCAAACTGCTCCAGAGCCTGAGTTAGAAACAGGAACGCAGAAAAGAACGTCAGAAAAATGTCCCCATCATACGGGATCACCAGCAAAGTGGGGCTCAGCAAAACGCCTGTGACATCTACTGTGCTGCAAGACTCCACGAAACGCATGTTACGTAGACTGCACGGTACAACATCAAAAAGCGCCGTAGACTGCCGCGAGGCTTCACAAAACGCCTGTGACATAGACTGTGCCGCAAAACTTCCCAAAGCGCCTGCGACATAGCCTGTTCCGCAACACTTATAAAACGCCTGCGACATAGACTGCGCCGCAGGGCATCACTGAGCGCCTGCGATATAGACTGTGCCGCAACACTTATAAAACGCCTGCGACATAGACTGTGCCGCAGGACATCATTAAGCGCCTGCGAGATAGACTGTGCCGCAGGGCATCACTGAGCGCCTGCGACATAGACTGTGCCGCATGGCTGTGCCGAATACGATATGCATAGATCGACAAAGCGCTCGCTCCTAAGCTATCCCGCTTGGGCGTTTGCTAAAAGCGTAATGCATTCCTCACAGCCGACACACTATTTGATATGCATTCTCACTGTTGACACACAGCCAAATCATATCAGGCGTATAGTACCTTTTTCCTCCTGTCCCTGTTCATGGCGTTGGTCATATCCTCGGCGTAGAAGTCGGGCAGGAGCTGCTCGGCCGGCTGGTCGGGCCGCTTCACCTGGAGCACCGTCTGCACGTCCTGGGACACGTCCGCCCCCGAGACGGGCTCCGAGAGACGGCTGGCGCTCTGCGGCGGACGGCAGGCTAGGTCAGACACACGACTTTGTATAGAAAGTAGGCACTACAGTGACTTAGTTAGAGCTGTTGATAGTGGTGGGTGATGGTTTTCATGAGTTTTAATTCAGTCGGGACTCGGGATTCGAACGGATATATGATAAACGGATTTAAACAAAAATGTCGTATGTAATTTTATCGATCAAAATTTAGACGGGCATAAATTATTGCATATCTAAATTGAACTTTGTACCATTAACATTGCATGACAAAGCTTAATCAGCCTTGAATTCGTAAAAAAGATCTGTTGAGATTGGAGCCGCAAGTATAAAAGAAGTACGCCGGTAAGGACCATCACTCATCAGTTACTTATACTGCTTGGGAGGGTCGGCTATGGCTCGGTGTTTAGCGAATACGCAGTCGGCAGGGGAATCGTTCGCACCTGCGCTATTTTCGGTGCCAGCTCGGCCAGGCTCTGGTGGTAGGCCTGTAGCGCCGCACGGAGTCGAGTTAGTCGCTCCTCTTCCAGACGCTGGAAACACTGACTGCCCTTGTTCAGGGCCGTCTCCCACTCCAGTCTGGAATATTTTTTTCGGTTAGATCGCAGATATACTCAAGTCAGATTAATAACACCTGCTGCCCTTTTGATACAGGAAGGTCGTCTTCAATAGCTTACTGATAATGAACGTAGACGTTTACAGCTTTTTGTGCTATAATCAGTAACAAAAAAGGCGTTATCGCTTACCGCGCTCTTTCACTTCGTAAGCAGAAGTTGTAGTATTCGGTGTCCGCCTTGGCCAGGGCGTTCTCGGTTTTCTGTCTCCGACTCTCGACCTGCCGTAATGATAATTCACAGTCACGTCTCTCAGCTAATTAAACGTCTAGCGGCATTAATGGATACAATGTGAGACAACCCGTATTAATAATTAATAGGAAATAAATCGCCATCAAAATAGATTTGATTACGCAATTTACTCAATATCGTATGTCGTGGAAACTCGATCAAATCAGCAACCAAACGTCATTTTCTGAATGAACATGTTAGCATAAAAATCAGTCGTGCCCGTGGAATCAGTTATCACACCTTCAGTCGTATATGTAATCATCCGTTGAGATCCCTCACCTTCCCCGCGTCCTTTCTGGCGCTGTCGTGCGCCAGTCTCGCCTCCAGCGCCTGCTCCTCGGCTCGTTCGTTCTCCCTGGCACACTGGTAGGAGAGCTTCTTGGCCTTGGCCTCTGCAGAGCGCCACTCGGCCAGGTTTTTGGCCGTCTTATCGACGTTTGTCTCCACGGTCCTGCGCGCCTTGTGCTGAGATTCCAGCAGCCCGCGCAGAGGCTTCACCAGCTCCTCGGTGTAGGTGACCGCCAGCGTTCTATGTCGACGGAAACGAGCGCGTGGTCAGGAGACGGTTGAAGGAAACATCGGCTGTGCTCATGGGTCATCGATACAGGATCCTGACATGCTCATTGCTCATGAGCTCGTGTTCAATGATAGAAGTCCAGCCGGCAAGTCGATCGTCATAAAGTCGATCATCCACAGTTGTTTCACCACCGTTTACTGCTTTAAATAGGCATTCTGCCCACCTGTATCCAGCTAAAAAGGCAAAAGTCAAAATAAATCAATAAGTGCGAATAACATAAGTACAAGATAACGTTTACCATTGCGGATTTAATAGGCATTTTGTCTCACTTGTGGATGTCTGCCTGGTGTTCCATCTCCGTTCCGACTCGCTGCCAGGCCTGGTTCACGCTGCCCAAGCCGTCTCTGGAGGCCTTGAGCAGCTTGGCCGCCAGCTTTTGCAGGCCGCGGGCGTAGGTGACCTCCAGGTCAGACCTGAGGTCATGGGACACAGCGGGATCCTGGTGTCACCAACTGCCCGTTCTCAGGTCATGTGACATTTCAGCTGGATGTATTTGTGAGGCTTAGCCCCTAAGTCATACTTTGCCTGCAGTTATTTCGATGTAGATTGTGAGCAAGCAGACTACATAGAGTAATTGCACAGCAAATACATGTTTCTTAGATCTCACCTTTCTTGCAAGATGGATGCAAGCTCCTTGCAAAAGTCGCCACCATGTTTGATGTATTTCCGGAGCTCTTCGAATCCGTTACTGCCCTGTAAAGCACAAAAGAAACTCATATATTAGACTGTGAGAACAGACAGTCACACAAAAACCACACTACCGTCTACCGCTATAAGCTAAAGGTCCTTGACAACAAATATTATTGAAGTGAACTGCGCGTTACATGTCTACCTTCGTCATGAACTGGACATCTTCATCGGAATGTCAGCAGTCGCCCGGTATTTCAGATCAGAACCTCGAGGAACGATGCGTCACACTATTTGACTTGCTGCCCTTATTACCCTAGACGGTATATCCCTGATGCATACCAAAACCCTCATTCCATTCCGCCACCCTCTGTGCGCGTGGCTGTGCCCCCGGGCATATCTAACTTTCCCTTCGGTGGCCCGGCACCGGGGCCGTGTCTGGGCGTGGATTCCTGCACCATCACCGGACCGATCAGCCGCATGACCCTCGAGAAAGTCTGCATCTGGCGCGTCCCGCGGCGCCGCTATGAATATGGGTGTTCCGCCGCCCAGGCTGGTACTGGGCCGGCCAGTGAGTGCCCGGGGCACTCTGCTAGATAAGAGGTTCGACGTCCACTGCCCCGCCTGACACACTTCTGACCCTCCGTCTGAGCTGAACACGTCACACCCCTGTCGTTGTTCGAGTATTTACGACCCATTCTAACCCGACTTTCAAGGATTAAAGTGTCCGAAAGGATCGCGGTTTGGGGAGAATATCCGCCTGCCTTTCGTCACAATGGGCAAAAAGTGAGTGGGATTGCGCATTTGGGATCTTAGGCAAGGCCAAAACTCTTCTGTGGGGCAGTCTGAAAAACTAACGCCGCCATTCCTAATTTGTCCACGTCAAGGGTCGACGGCACAGCGTTTCCGGCATGTCATTCGTTAGTAGTAAACACGGCTTTTCGCGGCACATAGTTTGTTTATAGCTCTTTATTTAGGTCCTCACAAACTGCGCGTCAGTTTCCGGCGAATGGAAATAGACATGTAACGAGAAACGAAAGCGTGGATACTTGTGATATGCTTGTTTTTGCTTCCCCGTTCTGTCGGGCCTTTAAATAGATGAACCCTACAATGCGCTTTGTAAGCATTCACCGTAAAGTGCCAAGATAGGTACAAGCTTTCGGAGATATCGTTGAACACTTCCCGAGCGTGTATTGTTATTTTATGGCGGGTAAATGTCTATATATTTGAACAATGAGCTCGATGTGCTACAAACCAACATGACTTCGCAGATTAGATTCTTCCCAGAAACGCGGGCGAGAGAGAGACTGACGAATGTGCGAATGAGCATATTCAGTTGCCTTATCCAGGATAAGTGAGTAAAGTAGAAATCCTCATACGTTATCAGAAACGCTTCTTTCCCCGGCTTTCAAATGTCACCTTACAATGTCCGCACCCATTCAGACATTCACACCAGATCGGAATCAGCCCTACTGGCGCAGCTTCTGAGCGCGTGGCGGCTGCAGTGATGAATGGCTGACACGGGGCGCAGACGGAGAAAGTCTCCCGTCTGGGAGGGCATATGGGGCCGGCGCGGCCGCCCGGGCGGTGGCCGGACGTGTCTCGACTACACACAGCCTCTCTGACGGCCTGACTGGGACGATGTGGGGTCTGCCGATGACATGAAGCCCGCATAAGGTCTGACCCCCAGCGTCGGAATCTAGACACTTATGGTCTTGTTTTTAGGAGAAATATTGAGAGAAATGTTGGTTTAGGAGAAGACGTTTCGTCTGTTTGTATGGGCATATTACCTTTTATTGAAAGCGAAAATGCCTCCGGTTCTTCATGCCGTGAAAACATTTTGTAGAGCTGAGATGTACTTCAAATATTTTAAATAATGCAGGCTCAATACTTTTTGCAAGTATCATGTTGTCAGTCTTTCAAAGTCTCCCATTACCACCGTCCACCCGCTCTGCATTTCTTTATTGCCACAACTTCGCCATAACATCACTTATCTAGCCAGTATGACACAACAGAAAAGAAGGTGTTGTACATGTTGCAGGAGCTGGTTACTACATTCAGAGAATGTGTTGGTTTTCTAGTATTTTGCGAACCATTTCATGCCTGTCTGGATTGAACCAGTTTTTGTTTCACCAAAGGTGATCCAAGCTCGGAGGACCGGTCCGGCGTTTCCCTCTCAACACCACCAAGGTGGCACAACAGGTGTCGAAAGTGAAAATAGCAGCAGCCGAGATGGCACTCGGGGGTTTTACAGATTTGGTTCACTCCGACTAAACCGGTTCGACGCCCTTCCTGGGCGATGCGGGTGTCGTATGGTGAAATAAGTGGCGAGTTCCGTGCCTGCCGTGCCTGGCACAGCTTCTGCATCGTATTTGGAAATTTTTCGTTACTTCATTTCGAAAGTGCTCCCATAAGTTGGTTTGTTGATACACTCGAACTCGAAGGTTATGCATGTGGCTACTCATCAACGGCATATTTTAATCAGTATATAAACGGCATTTATTTTATGTTCGGTAAATATTTAGGAAATAATATGAATGGAGCACAATTTAAAGTAAAATGGTTACAATGCAATGCTTATGTATGGTGCCTTCGGAATGCCATTTGATCGCGTTCCGATCGTTAAAGTAGCCTGTAGCACACATAGGCGGCGGAACGAGGAGGGCACCGGGGCACCGCACCCCTCCCTTGATTTTGACATCTTAACCCTCGCCCTGGCAGGGGGGTCGATGCGACCCCCCCTAAGGTTTTTCGAAGATAGCGTAAAAACGGCGGCGCGCAGCGCCGCCAAATTTAGCACAGCCTATGGGGCAACCTTTTTACATATGACCTGAAAATTTCAGGTCCAGGTGACCCTGGGTCAGGTCACCAGGTCAGAAAAACCGGTACAAGGTCATGGTCAAACTTCAATTTTCTTTATGCACCTGTCCAACTCACAGTTTTCGACTGATTTCCTTCAAACTTTCAGGATGTGCTAAGTTCACCGAGTTGTATAACATATATTCCGGTTTTTTTTAGGTCACTGACCTGAGGTCAGTTAGAGGTCATTACGTCGTAATGTTAAGCCTATGGGAAAATACTAAATTCGGAAAATACTGGAGATATCCGCTTCGTTTTATCACTTTTGTGCTTTGAAACCACGGTACTTAACAGCAGGACACTTGGTGCTTCTTTGTTTGGTGTACTTATCCATGGGTCAGGTCAAATGATGTCAACTGAGGTCAAATGACGTTTTTGCCAATAACTTGGCACATAATGACGCTAAAGCTTAAAAAATGGTATCATTGTGTTCCTGGTGATCAGCCGAATCAAATGATATGCGATATGATGCAATTTGGTTAATTTGAACTTAATTTATTAATTTAAGTTTACTTAAAATTTAAGAAAAACTTTAAGTACACTTAAGCAAGCTAAAAAGTATATCATTCGACGCGCCTTGACGTGCTGAGTTCACTGGTGCTTTTCTTTTTGCTCTATCTTAACTAGATCAAAAGTTATAGGCGAAAAACTTTTGACCTGTTTTTAGCGAAATTTTTACATCTATACCCCCCAAAACCCCCCTAAATATTGACCTAGAGCAACCAAATTTGCACAGGGGCGAGAACTCCGGGGGGCCCACCTACCTACCAAATTTGGTGTTTCTAGGTGCCATAGGAGCCAATCGCGAGGGGGGGGGGTCGCATCGACCCCCCCCCCCCCCTGCCAGGCCGTGTTATGAAAAATGCCCTGCCAGGGCGAGGGTTAACATTAGCCCTATGGGCGTTGCATGGAAAGAATGGGACCAAAAGTCGGCAGTGCCCCCCCCCCCCCCTTAACTGAAGGTGTTCCACCGCTACTGGTAGCACATCGGTTTGCATTGGCTTCTATTGCTCTGAAGCTGCATTCAATCAAAAAACAAAGTCTGTTATCCATAACACTCCTGCCGATAACCTTCTGTTTAATGGGAGTGATTACAAAAATGTCACAAATATGCATCTAGAGTTTCAGTTTAAGTGTCTTCGGCGAGCAGGAAAAGCGAACGGCTGGAAAACCGAAAAATTGTATCCAGTTATGCAGCATCATCGAAAACCGTCATCAAAAGCCTACTTATATTAACAAATCCAAAGACACTAGCAATCAATTTAATCCGAAACAACCACTCGCAGTCCAACCATAGGCCCCACCCAATGTCGCCGTTTTAATTTCGAGTTACCTTCCCTCCGCAGGACAGGAGGCAGGCCCGGCTGCTGGAACGTCTGTCGCGTAGCAGCGGCATGGCTGACAGCGGGTGACAGCTACCGTCGCAGAGCTGTCACAGAGCTGTCACAGAGCTGTCACAGAGCTGCCACGGAGATGTCACGGAGCTGTCACAGCTTCCCAACCACACCGACCGTCGAGTGTCGTACCGAGCTTCAGCCATGTAACCAGTTAGGTTTTCACTACACAGTCACGACACCCTTCACGCCAAAATACCACACCGCCCGTGACGAGAACGCGTCACTTGGTCCGTCACAGTCCGACTAGAGCCCAACTCCGCAGCGTTCACTACACTGTCTGGAGAAACCGCCCACATCCGCGCCCTGCGCCAGCCACACTGGGGAGAGGCAGGCAGATCGGGCGGCTCCCGGGCGGCTGCCGTGGGCGGCGGCGGCGGCGGCGGCTGGCGAAAGTGCGTGCCTTACAGCGGCACCGGATTCCTCGACACAGTCGACGTCAGAAATCAGCAGGTCATCTCGGTAGCGCCAGAGATTCGTCACGGTGATAGGGACGGTTTGACACCAAGCATGTGCTAAATATTGCTATTGTTCTAACAATTTTGCTTGCAATCTAAATGTTTATAGGGAACGTCAAAGGTTGACCGTTACAATGGAAGAAATGATTAAGGCCACCTGGTTAACGTTTTATTTTCCATGAAAACAAACGTCGAGTAACCACGTATAAATGACGGATACGCACAATATCAGAAAACTTCCGGCTTATTTACAGGCAATCATCTGAAACTTCTGTTTCAACGAGCCATAGTAATCAAAGGTCTCTCACAGGCATAAGTTTCCGTTAGCACTTACATAAGGGAGCCGGTCAATCGA